TGTCTGTCTCTCTTTCTGCCCCTCCCCCACTCATGCTCTGTCTCTCTCTGTCTCTTCAAAAATAAATAAAAATGTTTTAAAAAAAAGTTTTTAAAAAAAGCAACATTGAAGACCATCTATTTGCCTTTTGAGCCGCATCTCCACATTTACTCTCCACTTCCTGCCATGGGCTAGCTGCGTGAGTCCACGTTTAGGCTCCCCTAGTGGATGCAATTCCTTGAGGTTTATCTCCATAGGACTCACCTTCTCATGCCAAGGGGATGGCACAGAACAGATGCTCAACAGATATTTGCTAAATGAATGAGAACCTAGCAAAACATAGCCCTTGTATTCACTTAGTGAATATTTGTTGGGAAACTACTACTTTCCCAGGTATTGTCCTAGGCACTGGAAGAGATAGAAGACAGACATGGTCTCTGCTTCAGGGAAATTACAATCTAGTAGAAAAGACAGACCTTAAAGAATAATCACACATGGGCACCTGGGTGGCTCAGTCGGTTAAGTGTCCGACTTCAGCTCAGGTCACTATCTCACACTTTGTGAGTTTGAGCCTCACGTCAGGCTCTGTGCTAACAGCTCAGAGCCTGGAGCCTGCTTTGGATTCTGTGTTTCTATCTCTCTGCCCCTCCCTTGCTCACACTCTGTCTCTCTCTCTCCCAAAAATAAATTAAAAAAATTTTTTTTAATTTTTAATTAAAAAAAAAAATCACACATAGTTAATTCATTATAATTATGATAAGTACTGAGAAGTACTAGATATTGTCTTATGAAAGTACATTACTGAAAAAATTAAACTAATATAATGCAGGGGTTAGGATGGGTGTCCCTAAAAGTGACATCCAAACTAGACACTGAGGTTAATTTGGAATTAGCCAGGCAAAGATGAAGGGGTTGGGGGGCCAGAGGAGGAAGAGAGAAGCAGAACAGCAAATATTTCAGGCAACGGAAACAGCCACAAAGCACAGCACAGATAAAGGCTCTGAGGCAGAAAACAACATAGTGCTTTTATAGAAGTGAAAGATCAGTTTGTCTCAAGAGCTGGAGTGAGGCAAGTAGTTAGAACTGAGGCTGGAAACTTTGTCTGGGACCTGCATCCACGTAAGGCCATGACAAGAACTGAATTAAGTTCAAAGGACTATTAAAAAGTCTAAATACAGGGGCGCCTGGGTGGCGCAGTCGGTTAAGCGTCCGACTTCAGCCAGGTCACGATCTCGCGGTCCGTGAGTTCGAGCCCCGCGTCGGGCTCTGGGCTGATGGCTCAGAGCCTGGAGCCTGTTTCTGATTCTGTGTCTCCCTCTCTCTCTGCCCCTCCCCCGTTCATGCTCTGTCTCTCTCTGTCCCAAAAAAATAAATAAACGTTAAAAAAAATTAAAAAAAAATAAAAAATAAAAAAATAAAAAGTCTAAATACAGAAGCGACAGTCGTTCATTTATTTAACAATATTCACTGAGCACCCACCATCTGCCAGGCACTGCTCTAGGTGCTAAAATGACTCGGTCCTATCTGCTTTTAAAACAGATCTCCCTGGCTACCGTGTCGACAATGGCTTAGGGAATGGAGAGGCAAAAATAGATGCCTTTGAGATGTGTAACCTTCTAGGACATAAGCCAGACTTATATGTTGATAATGAACCTATAGACAGAATCTTCACAAACTTACACAGGAACACACAGACTATAGTTATTAAGCTATGTAACACAGCAAGATGTAGAAATCAGGGTTCCTAGGAAGAATTCTGAATGGACACTGACTTATAAAACTCAGGCAGAGCCTACCCAAGTCTGGTAGGAGAGATCTTACCATTCACCATCCCATGGTTCCTCGACATAGGGAAACAGAGAACTGCGTGTGTGGACACTTCCAGGTGCCAGTCTAACTGAATCCTCACAAACCACGCTGTGGGAGCAGCATCCCCATCCGACAGATGATGAAATCTGGGCTCGGAGAGTTCTACCACTGTCCCAGGCTCCCACGGGGTGGAGGGTGGGGGGGCGGCGGCGGTGTGGCTGAGATTCACAGGTGAGGCTCTGAGCTCCAGGCGTGCAGGGAGTGAGCCCGTCTTACTGTTAGATCAGTGCCATGGCAGAGCTGTCCCTCCATATACAGTGAAGAAATTACTCTGTAAGGCGTAAGCTCCTTTCTAATACTTCCGTGCTGTTACATAGAAAGAGGACTAAAAGTGTTTATTTATAAATGTTTCTGTTTAAATAAATATGAACAGAAAATAAGCTGTTTATTTCATTATAAATGCTGAACATGAGAAGCCTGCTGAAAGACTCCACCAGGTGGAAGGGGCTTGGGAAAGGCCTTTAAGGGAAGGTGGAAGGAAGCAGATGGGAGATAAGACAGCTGGCAGGTGGAAATGTCTGTTTCTCTGCCCTTTGAGAAGAAGTTCAGACTCAGCTGCTGTCACTGGTTGAGGAATATGACAAGTTCTGGGGGACAGAAGCTCTTACCTGAAGGCTCCCATGCCATGGGAGAAGATGATCAAGGGGTATCCAGAATCCTTTGTCTTAAAGGGGCCATTCCAGCTAACAGGCAGGCGACAAGATCCTGGCAGAGACATGGGCTATAGAATCTCTGGCTGCCCCAGATCTGTATTCCCAAGGGCAGCCTGGGCACAGGCATGCGTGGGGACACATGCCCCTCCTCACTGGAGAACCACCTTTTGCCCCTGAGCAGTCCAGGGCAAACAGTCACCTTTTCTTTCCCCTTTTCTTCCCTAGCAAGCACAAATATAATAGAAAATGGGAAGATAAATGCGACAAGTACTGAACAACCCCTGAGGTGCCAAGGCGGTGGGTAGACTTCTTAATGGTGGGGCCTTTGGGGGAAGTAGATGACTCAGTGTGACTTTCCCCAGAGAAAGGAGAGCTAAGGAAGAACTGTAAACGAGAAAGTCTGGATTCAAATCCACGACAATCTAACTCTATAACCAAAGCTCTTATGTATATAATCCTCTCCCAATTCTCCACACTGCAATGGCTGATGCACGCCCCATGACGAAAGGGCTGGAAAATGCAAACTAATGGTACTGTGGGCGCGTAGGGATCTCTCCTAGAAACATAACCAAGAAGCTGGGAAAGCATCTGGGCGGGGCGGGGAAGCCAGCCCTTACCCACAGCCAGGTTGAACAGCAAACCCCCCCAGCGCTTATTAAACCGCAGGTAATCGGCCAGGCCCATGCAATACTCATAGCGGGGGATCCACAGGGGCTGCTCCGTGGTCTCCTCTGACTCCTGGCAGGGATAGAAGAGTCGAAAGAAGCTCCCCTGTAGGAAAGAAGAGAGCAACTGCTCAGAGCAAGAAGCCTGACTCTGCTAGACTTCCCATCAGACACACTCAGAGGGTATCTGAGGTGCCAGCGGGGCAGGGCACCAAAATGGGGAACTTAAGCTCTAATTCATATACCTGAATTTCGCACCCAGAAAATCCAGAAAGGAGCAAATTTATTTTTAGCGTACATGTAAGGCTTACGTGATTTCAAATAGCTGACTAAACTTTGAATTACATCTGGGAGCACCAAAATATTTTCAGTGCTTGGATCAGAAAGATTTCAATTCTGGCCCTGAGCCCAGGCCTGGAGGAGCCCCAGGAGTGAGATTAGCCCTCGTGCTGGATGGGGTGGGGGTGGGGGGGCATCACCCAGGGCAGTTCTCTGGAAGCGGCAGCACACTCATTTTACACAGGAGTAGGTGAGGGCTTAACAGGAAGTACGTGCCTCTCTCAAGAGAGAGGGGGAGTCTAAGGGCCAGCAGAGAAGCACCTAGGAACTGTTGGAGGGAAAGTCTGGAACCAAAGCAGGAGGGAAAATGGATGAAGGCAGGAGAGGAGAGAGAGGAGCATGTCTTCCAACCCAGGTCAGGGAGTCAAAGGCCAACAGCACATGGCCCACGGCTCCTCCTCCCATACCTTCAGATTAGCAGGAGACTGAAGACCTTCCCAGCATCAGGCATCTGCTCTAAAGATAAGGCCGCAAGCCCGAGAGCTGCCCTTGGAGCCAGAGCCCGCACCCCCTTTCCTCCTAGCTGGCAAAAGAACCCATCTCTGGCTACCGAGAGGTTTCTAACTAGAGAGACGAAGAAAAAGGTCAGGGAAGACAGACTTGGGGGCTCTATCACCAAATCCAGACCAGCTCTCTGTTTCTTCGGAATGGCTATTAAGTCATGGTGCAGGAAAAAGCAGCAGGGGTGTGTGCAGACAGAGCCGGAGACGCTTACCTGGAGACTCTGACCTTCCATCACATCCCCGCAGCCTACGAGGTGGGGTCCTGTGACAGGGGGAAAGCCCACGGACTGGTTGACCCCCATTTCATCACCAGCTGAGACAAACAACGACCTGGGCAGCGCTGAACTTGATGGCTGAGGGTGGAACATAGAAGAGCCTCTTGCTGGTTTCCTCTTAGCTTCCTGTTGATTCTATGTGTCATCTGCCACCCATGTCCACTGCTCCTTATCACCCCATCTCCTTGTCAGGGACTCATTCAGTCTTCCACACCAACCACTGTGCTACCCTGACTTTGTCAAGGTTTAAGGGCTGCTTTGTTGTTGGGGGCAGGGTGAAGAGATGGTTGGGGAAAGGAAAGAGAGCTTCCACGCTTCTCAAAACCCACTGCCAAGTGCTCACTCAGCACCTACTATGTGCCCAGCACAGCAGTAACTTCTACGTAGAATGTAACCCAGGCTGCGTCCTCATGAAGCTAGGAATAACGACGACTAAGATGTATTATTGGCTCTGTGTCAGCACTGAACTAAGCTCTTTACATACAGTACGTCACTTCATTCTCTCCACAAATCTCTGAGGAAGGTCCTATGAAGACCCCATTTACAGATAAGGAAACTAAGACACAGGGAGGTTGAATAGCTTTCCCAAGTTATACTGCTTCCAGGCAGCAAACCCAGGTCTGTCTAATGCAGACCCGAGCTCTTAACCCCTACCGATCCTGCTTGTGCGGAGACTCAGTTGCAGGTTTGCAAAAGCACGGACCTACACTACTGACTATGAAGGAGGCACTTAGGCTGGGCCTTGAAGTATGAGCAAGACCTGGAGGCAGGGGAGAGGAAGGAAAGCATTTTTACAAAGAGCAAGAAAGGGCAGCGATAGGGGAAGAGTATGATGTGGCAGGAGATCAAACAGGAGCCTTGAACGTGGCAGGTGTGCGTGCTTCGGACTAGCCCACATTCCAGGAGCTCGGCTGCTCCCTAAACAGGAGCTAATGCCATGGCTTCTGTCCCTCTGCAACCTCATCATCACCAGCAACATCGTCATCATTACACCTATGGAATGCCAGGAATGACACCAAGTGCTTTGCTATGTTACTAATTGAAAAATTGAGATGAGGAAACTGATGAGTTTGCCAGTTAGGTAGATTACCCAAGAACATACAGCTAACAGAGCCAGAATTTGATCATGAGCAGTGTGGCTCTAACAGTGGAGAATATGGTCAAGCTTCTCAACATGCATTCTATCTTGCCTTCCTGTGTGACTTGGGCGGGGGTGCCCGATCAGCCCTTGGTGTCCCCTGGTCGGTATCTGGATGAAAAGTGGGCACATGACATAGTTGGTCCATTCAGAGCAAAGCTCAGGACTTTTGATCCCTGAGGACGGAAAAGCTCTTTCTTGTTTTGAATGAGAGTGATGTGCAGATACAAAGCCTTGGAATGTGGGAGCTGCTTTGCTACTTCAAGGACGAAGCTACCCAAGGAGGATGGATAGCAGAGTTGAGCAAATCGGAGAAACGTGAGTCCTATTTGTGAAGACATTAAGACTCTCTTAATCTTTATCTTAAAATGAGGGGCAGCTCAGTCAGTCAAACGTCCGACTCCTGATTTCGGCTTAGGTCGTGATCTCGTGGTTCGTGAGGTGCGTGACACAGAGCCCGGTGCGGGGCTCTGCACTCACACGTGGAGCCTGCTTGGGATTCTCTCTCTCCTTCTCTCTCTGCCTCTGTCTACCCCCTGCTCACATGAGCTTTCAAGTGCACATGTGCGCACGCTCTCTCTCTCAAAATAAATAAATCAACTTAAAAAAAAAAAAAAGAATCTCACCCTCTGAGGAAGACATGGCTGCAGCTACAGCAGAGCTTTGGAGGCCCTGCTCCTGCTCCTGACTCACCAAGTTGCTCAGGAAGCCGCACTGCGGCCATGGCTTTTAAAGACACCGGGAAGATGGGGCGCCTGGGTGGCGCAGTCGGTTAAGCGTCTGACTTCAGCCAGGTCACGATCTCGCGGTCCGTGAGTTCGAGCCCCGCGTCGGGCTCTGGGCTGATGGCTCAGAGCCTGGAGCCTGTTTCCAATTCTGTGTCTCCCTCTCTCTCTGCCCCTCCCCCGTTCATGCTCTGTCTCTCTCTGTCCCAAAAATAAAAACGTTGAAAAAAAAAATTTTTTGAAGACACCCGTGGAACCAGAGGTGGCGATTCACCAAATGAGAATGACGCTAACCAGCCGCAACATAAAATCTTTGGGGAAGGTATGTGCTGACTTGATCAGAGGCGCAAAGGAAAAGAATCTCAACGTGAAAGGACCAGTTTGGATGTCTACCAAGACTCTGAGAATCACTACAACAAAAACTCCTTGTGGTGAAGGTTCTAAGACTTGGGATCATTTTCAGATGAGGATACACAAACGACTCACTGATTTGCACAGTCCTCCTGAGACTGTTAAGCGGATTACTTCCATCAGTATTGAGCCAGGAGTTGAGGCTGAAGTCACCATTGCAGACGCTTAAATCAACCTCTTTAATAAATTATCAGTTGCTAAAAAGAAAACCTCTAGACTATACATGAAAGGCCTGACCCACTCACTCCTAGATTTTCTAGTTACATGAGTCAGTAAATCCCCTTTTTGTTTAAACTGACTTTAGATTTCTAATGCCTGAACCAAAAGCATCTAAACCGATACGCTAAGTTCCAGCCCCAGATTTTTGGTCATTACACTATTCTGTTTTCTTTAAGACACTCTGGGATGGATCAGAAAGTTCAAGTCCTGGGGCACCTGGGTGGCTTAGTCGGTTGGGCAGCTGACTTTGGCTCAGGTCATGATCTCACGGTCCGTGAGGTCGAGCCCCGCATTGGGCTCTGTGCTGACAGCTCAGAGCCTGGAGCCTACTTTGGATTCTGTGTAACCCCCCTCTCTCTGCCCCTTCCCCACTCGTGCTCTGTCTTGCTCTGTCTCTCAAAAATAAGTAAATGTTAAAAAGAAAATTATAAAAAAAAAAAAAAGAAAGTTCAAGTCCAAGAATGTCTAGGCAAGAAGAGACCTTAGAGACCATTCCCATCAATCCTCCCCCACCCTCCCCAGTATATACACGTGCTGCTGATGAAGAAATCAAGGTCCTAAGAGGTTAAGTGAACTGTTGAACATCACAAGTGTAACTATTACTACACACAGATCTCCTGGTTGCCAACTTCCAACTGTCTGGTCCAGTGGAAAACTCAATAACCGATAATCCTAACGTCATTCTATTTACCTTTGGAATATAATAAATGATTTTCTTTCTACTACTCTGTAGTAGTAGAACCCAGTTCTTTTTATTTACTTATTTTTAAATGTTTACTTTTTTTTTTTAACGTTTATTTATTTTTGAGACAGAGAGAGACAGAGCATGAATGGGGGAGGGTCAGAGAGAGGGAGACACAGAATCCGAAACAGGCTCCAGGCTCTGAGCGGTCAGCACAGAGCCTGATGCGGGGCTCGAACTCACGGACCGCGAGATCATGACCCGAGCCGAAGTGGGCCGCTTAACCGACTGAACCACCCAGGCGCCCCCAAATGTTTACTTTTGAGAGAGACAGTGCGAGTAGGTGAGGGACAGAGAGAGAGAGGGACAGAGACAGAGAATCTAAAGCAGGCTCCGTGCTATTTGCAGAGAACTTAACATGAGGCTGAACTCCCAAACCGCGAGCTCATGACCTAAACCAAAATCAGAGTCGGACACTCAACCGACTGAGCCACCCAGGCACCCCAGAATCCAATTCTTTTTAAAAAGAAACTGAGCTCCTGATGTAGTCAGTGCACCAGTTAGCCAGAGTGAAACTGAGCATGTGCATGAGCATGTCTCATACCCTGAGCTTTTCCCCTGGTCGTTGAGGGTGTAACCAATGGCGGGCCTCTGCAGGGAAACAGGGCACATGTCACCCACATGACAACGAAGCAGCTCCAAGTTCTAACTGCCATCAAAGAAGGTCAGATAAGAAGATCAGATAGACATAGGAGTTCTGAGAAGAAAACACACTCTGGTAGCTTGCCAGTGGAGGGCGGGAGGTGGTAAAGTTAATTTTCAAGGAGAAGAAAGTGCATGAGCTAAGACACAGAGGTAAGAAAGCACACGAGAAACAGCTAGTCATTAGTGACGGATGCGAGGTGACAAAAGAAACGTGTGACAGATACGGAGGGTAGCAGTCTCTCAAGTGATAGGCTAAAGAGTTGGAATCCATTCTGGAAATGAGGTTGTGGAAATCACCAATATCAAGTCTGAAAGAGCCAAGTTTGAGCCCAGCTCCTTTGCTGCCTAGCTTTCTTACCTCGGGTGGAGCATCTGATCTCACTAAGCCTGATTCCCCATCAGTACAATGAGATGCTACCCATCCTCATAGGGTTGCTAGGGAGGTCAAATGAAATAATTTAAAGCGCCCAGTATAGTATCTGGCTCTTATGAAGTATCCAGGAAATATGTGTTGATTGAGTGAAATGTAGAAACAACGGGATTTGGCAACAGAGTGGATTTGTGGAGGCAAGGGAGAGAGAAGAGCCAAAGATGAGTCAGGTTTCAGGACTGGGTGACCAGAATGATACTAGCTTCTTACGGGAAAAGATGTTGGTCTTTCTGCATATAAAGAACAGTGCTTGGGATTGGAAATCAGGATAAGTGGAGTTAGACTGCTAAACAGATGGGGGGGTACAACTCACTGGTAGTCCTGGAAAGTTTCTGGGGAGGGGGTCATTAAGTTTGGAAATAAATACAAATGAAAGCTAATTGGCCAGAGTGAGGCATACCCAAAAATGAATCTGCATTCCCTGGGCTCACATTAACTGATCGCCGGCCGCCCCGGGCCGCCCCCCCCCAGGGGATGGGAAAGTCCAATTTTGCCTACAGGACACCCACACAAAGTATCCAGAGTCATTTCCAATAAATGCCATATAATTTTCCAAGGAAATTAGTCCAGGTGTCTTTAATTTGCTTTGTTTAGCTCATCCAAACAATTCAAGGTGGAACCTGTCTAGAAGCCTCTCTACCCATGCAAACCTATTCCATCCATCAAGGCCCAGAGAAATCCCCGGTTCTCTGTGCTTTCCCAAGTCCTTCCACCTTCCCTCCTCTCAAATCTAAGCACTGTCCACATCCCTCACCTCATAACCAATCACGGGCTGCTTTAGGACAGCTCTTGGATTACCGCCTATTCTAGCAGTTTTCGATCAGTGACTTGCCTATGAACAGTTCAAGTAGAACTTAGTTCAGAGGTTCCTGAACCTATCATCACAATCACCTGGGAAACGTTCAAAAATATAGATTTTAAGGTCCTCGTTCCCAGAGGTCAGTTTTTATTTTTATTTATTTATTTTTTTTTAAGTTTATTTATTTTTGGGACAGAGAGAGACAGAGCATGAACGGGGGAGGAGCAGAGAGAGAGGGAGACACAGAATCGGAAACAGGCTCCAGGCTCTGAGCCATCAGCCCAGAGCCCGACGCGGGGCTCGAACTCACGGATCGCGAGATCGTGACCTGGCTGAAGTCGGACGCCCAACCGACTGCGCCACCCAGGCGCCCCCAGAGGTCAGTTTTTAAAAGCTGCCCATGTTTCTCATCAGCAAGGTGTGAGAACCTCTGGTCCAGAGGGAACACAGGACTTTTTATTCAGAGATGTATGCATGCAACAAATATTTACTGAGTGTATACAGTGTTCCAGCCCACCACTGTATATTAATGAAATGATAATGACTAAGATTTCACTTAGTTGAATCCCCATGGCCACCTAGAAGCATGTTCTTGCTGGTTACAAGGCTTAATGTAGCGCCTTGCATATAACTACTCGCAAGAATTAATTTATCCAATGAATCTGATTTAGTTTTTTACACACTTAGGCCTCATTTCTTTGGATATACTAGAGATAAAGGCTGTGTTTTATACTTCTTTGTAGGCCAAACCATCTATCATCAGGCTTCCTCTATGTAGTAAGGACCCAATAAATGCCTCTTTATTTGGCTTTGATTTAAACTCCCTCAATTCTTTAATCTGTCTTTTCTACCTAAAAACAAGGCTATATGGTATAGTGTAAAAAAGGCTTTGGCGACCGTCTGAATTCCAATTCTTAATTGGCTGTGATCTTGAGCAAGTTCCTTAAGTTCTAAGCCTCTGATAATTTATCCCATAGGATAGAAATAATAGTACTCATGAAGTTGTTGATGAGAATTAAATGAAATAATGTATATTATAATAATGTATATAAAGCACCTGAAATGTACAAGGCACTAGAACCAGAGATTGTAGCTCTGAGCCTAAGTTCTTTATAAGTAAAATGAAGTCACTTCTAGTTAGATTAAAATAAGGAAGTTGATAATTGCCTATGGCTTGGTACGTTTCAAGTGCCCATAAAAATGTTAAAAATGAATCAATAATGCCATGTCTCTCTTTCGCCATACCCAACCGAGGTCTCTTTCAGAAATTTTTTCTGGGGGCGCCTGGGTGGCGCAGTCGGTTAAGCGTCCGACTTCAGCCAGGTCACGATCTCGCAGTCTGTGAGTTCGAGCCCCGCGTCAGGCTCTGGGCTGATGGCTCAGAGCCTGGAGCCTGTTTCCGATTCTGTGTCTCCCTCTCTCTGCCCCTCCCCCGTTCATGCTCTGTCTCTCTCTGTCCCAAATAAATAAACGTTGGAAAAAAAAAAAAAAAAAGAAATTTTTTCTGGATTAAGCCCTTTGGCAAAATGGATTCTTTCCTCCCAGCTTTTTTGGGTCAGAAACACCCAAGCCCAAACCACAGTGTACTAAAAAGGCCCACAAGAGCCCAGAAGGAATGGACAGAGCCTACAATGCAGCTGTCCATCTGCTGGGGCCGTTTCCAGTGAGCAGAAATCAACCACCCTTTTGCCAGCTGTGTGGACTTTTCATCACTGGCTATTTTAGGACAGAGTCCACGATAAACACTTCTCTGGGGCTTCCTTTCAGACAAAGCTCTATGGAGACTTAAAGCTCCTTAAAGACCTTTGGGCTCTGGAGGAAGTGAGGAAACATCCTGCTCTTAGAGAATGGAGACACCAAGTGCTCAAGAGGCAGGCTTGAGCAACAAGGGGGCAGAGATAGAAAAGGAGCCCAGATAAGAGGGGTCCAGAGCATTAACAATTATAATAAAAATAACCTCTCTCGCTTGTGGAGGCTTTACGGCTTAAAAAGCCCTTTCACACACATTAGCTTATTGGCTCCACAACACAGCCTCACCGTAAGACCGACAGAGCGATTACCATCTTCACTGTGTCAATGAAGAGCGGAGCCCCAGAGAGATTGCTTGATGTGCCCAAGGTCACACAGCGAGTGAGCTGCCGACGTGGACCAGACCCCGGGTCGGGGGAGTCCAGGGCTCTTCCACTAGGAAGAAGGAATGGCGACACTCCTTCCACTACCATGCAAAACCGGAAAGTGAGGGTAAGAGAGAAAGCACACAGGAGGTGTGGAGCATAAAGAAGCCCAGGTTTCAGGGAGGTCACATGTGTGCTCAGAGAGGGGTCGTGGGGGGGGTGGGTCCTAGCACCAGAGCTCAGGGTGGGACTCCAGGGCCGTTGGGAGTGAAGGAACAAGATGACAGTGGGAGGGTGAAGAGTGCGAGTGGATACTGGAGATGTCTGAACAGGAAACAGAAAAGGATGAGGGATTAATGCGGACTTCCTCGGACTGGGACGAGCAGCCCCCAAAACCGGCTGGAGGATGGAAAAGTTGGCTCACATCTCAGTTCAGAACAAGAGCTTTCTCCAACCCAAC